AAGATTGGGGAGGGTCTGTTGTAACATTGAATGGTTATTAAGTGACCAGTCGTAAGTTGGGGATTATCTGTCTGTTTCTCCCTCTCTCTCAGAACAGGCAACCCTTCCCATTTGCCCTCGACCAAGCAAACGCTAGTTATTTAACCATAGATGGCACATTGCTCAGGAAATTGCTATACATGGAACTAGATGTGCTTTATCCCCAACCAGCTGGGTGGATTTTTTTTTTCCTAACCATGGAGGTGGCTGTTAAGAGATTGAAAATTTTCCAGCAGATGTGCAGTGTTTCCTTCGCTTCTTGAGTCTGAATAACTGACTTTTGCAAAGAGCAGACAGAGAACTAATGTGAAATACCATAGGCCTTTACCTCAGATGTACAGTAATAACTTGTCCGAGGGAGGAAAGTTGGAAGAATCAGACTTACATGCCATATTGTTAACTTGCTTGGGAAACTTGCATCTTTCATGAATGGAAAGAAAATCAAAGTACTCGCATGTGTGTTTGTTTGCCTAAAATGTATGTTAAAAAGTGTTTCGCTGCAACAGATCTAACCCAGTTAGGTCCTTTCTTTCTGGTTGTGGGAGCACCCGGTTGCACTGTCTCCCTTCTCATTGATTGAGGTGGCCAAGTCATTCCAACGGATGCCTGGTTGGCCAACCAGGGTTTAGGGAAATGTGTCGTTCTCCACTAACCAGCTTTTGAAATGAATTTGGAAATCATGAGACTTGCCATTTCTGTCGCTGCTCTTTGATTCTTTCCTTCGAAGGATCAGTTCAACAAAACGTGTGAACTAAATGGGCTTCGGCATTTTCATAATATAACTGATGGTGTAGAGTTAGTTAAACCCTTTGTGTGTGCTGGGTCCAACTGGGATAAATTCAGCTCTCTAGAGATTTATTTCCTTTTTGTGGCTCTCTTCATATAGTTCCAAGAATGTCATGTAGTTGAAAAGTCAAGATGTATTCTGGCCCACCAGCGGCCAGTGGAGCTGGCAGAAGATTCGGACAGTGAGGAGATTGGGGAGGAACCTGGGCCAGTCCTGGAGTCTGGGGAAGGCTCTGATGAGGGCTCTGTGTCGGAGGCAGAGAAGGGGCCAGAGCCATATGCCAGCTTACAGATGCCTTCAGAGTCAGACATCAGTGAGGCAGCCGAACAGCTGGAACCTGTTCCCAGTGTGTGCATGCGCAGAGTTGCCAGATGAAGGGAATAGCTAAAGAACAGGGAGG